ACCTCTGCCTCAAATTCCCCACACCCACCGGCATCGGTTACTCGAGGGGGAATCAGAAGATCTCCTGCGCTTGCTACCTTCAGCTCACTAGGAAGGTTAGTAAGACTGAACTCCGCATTGATACTATCACTACCAACGCCCTAGAAAAGGAAGAAGGCAGGCCGAGGGCTAAGCCTGCTGAGGACACCGAAGACTTTGTACTCGATCTGGCCAGGCCAAAGAGAATCTTGAAGATTGGAGCCAAGCTCCCCGAAGACCTGAAGACCGCCAACACCGAAACCCTCCGCGCCTACTCCATTGTTTTAGCATGGGGGTCGGAGGACATGCCGGGGATCGACCGAAGGGTCATCACTCACCGCTTGGCGGTGGACCCTTCGGCCAAGCCAGTACAACAAAGAAGGAGGCCCCTCTCGGCCGAGAGAAGGGACTTTGTCAAGAAGGAGGTCGTCATACTCCTCTCCATCAAACACATCAAGGAGGTGAAATATCCTTCGTGGTTGGCTAATGTGGTACTAGCACAGAAGCCACCCACCTTCCGCGTGTGTGTGGACTACACGGCTTTGAACAAGGCGTGCCCCATGGATCCTTTCCCTCTACCAAACATCGATCAAATTGTGGATGAGACCGCGGGATGCGAGATCATGTCTTTTCTCGATGCTTTTCGGGGATATCACCAAATCTACATGCATGAAGAGGATGCCGAAAAAACAGCCTTCATGACACCCAAAGGCATCTTTTGTTATCTTGTGATGGCCTTCGGCCTAAAGAATTCAGGCGCCACTTACACCCGTATGGTGGCCAGGGTCTTTCAAGCTGTCTTAGGGCGCACCATGAAGGCCTATGTTGGCAACATGATCGTCAAAAGCAAAAACTCAAACACCCACGCCGAGGACCTCCGGGAGATATTCGCCATCATGCAAAAATTCAACCTTCGGTTGAATCCAAAGAAATGCACCTTCGGCGTGCAAGGGGGGAAATTCCTCGGCTACATGGTTAGTCGAAGGGGTATCGAGGCCAACTCTGAAAAAATTCAGGCCATCATCAACATGGAGCCCCCACGCAACGTGAAGGAGGTTCAGAGGTTGACGGGTCGCCTGGCGTCCCTCAACCGCTTTCTCTCCAAGTCGGCAGAAAGGGCCCTCCGCTTCTTTCAAATCACGAGGAAGACAGCGGGCTTCCAATGGACAACTGAGTGTCAAGAGGCCTTCGACGAGCTGAAGAAGTACCTCTCTTCTCCCCATGTGCTCTCCAAACCCAAGGTAGGAGAGACCTTATATATATACCTTGGCGTCAGCCCTGCTGCCATCAGCTCAGTACTGATCCGGGAGGAGGAGGACATCCAACATGCCATCTTCTATGTTAGCAAGACCCTCAGGGAGGCGGAACTCAGGTATTCCCCTGTAGAGAAAACGGTCCTAGCCATTGTTTGGACCGTCAAGAAACTTGGCCACTACTTTCAGGCTCATCCGGTCCAGGTCCTTACACATCAACCCCTCGACACCCTCATGAGGAGCCCCACCAGCTCCTCTAGAATGGTCAAGTGGGCTATCTTTCTCAGCCAATACAACATTGATATTTGTCTGAGGCCTGCCATTAAGGGCCAAACCCTGGTGTACTTCGTGACAGAAAGCACAGCGAGATCAGCGGTGGATGAGGAGCCTTCGGCACTTCTGGATGAGTGGTGGACCCTCTATACCGATGGCTCCTCGGCCACCAAAGCATGCGGAGGAGGGGTAGTTCTCATCACACCCGAAGGCTTCCGCGCCTACTATACCATTCGCTTCTCCTTCAAAGTCTCCAACAACGAAGCTGAATATGAGGCCCTCCTCTGTGGCCTTCGGCTAGCAGCAAACCTGAAGGCCAGATTGATCCACGTCAAGTGTGACTCAAAACTTATCGTGGGCCAAATCTCCGGGGAGTATGAGGCCAAGGAAGGAAGGATGAAACAATACAAGGAAGCGGCCAAGGAGTTGCTTGAGGTATTTGAGGCGCATTCTCTCACCCAAATACCGAGGGCTCAAAACTCTGAGGCCGACATTTTATCGAAGCACTCGTCCGAGTCCCCGGAGCACCTCATAAAGATAGCAAGAATCGAGGAGCTCAGCTTCTCGAGCATACACGCAAGTCCTATCATGGAGGTACATCTCAGGCCGGAAGATTGGATCTCCGACATCATCGCCTTCATCACCACAGGGCAACTCCCTGAGGATGAGGCCCGCGCCAAATTAGCAAAGCTGAGGGCTCCCAACTACACCATCGAGAATGGGAGGCTCTACAAAAGATCTTACAATGGCACCTTACTTCGGTGCCTTCACCAGGATGAGGCCGAGGTTGCAATGGAGGAAGTGCACAATGGCACTTGCTCAGCTCACCAGGGACCCTTCTCCATGTCCCGAAGGCTCATAGTCCAAGGTTACTTCTGGCCCACAATGGCTCGTGATTGCGCCAATCTTGCCTGAAGGTGTACCGCTTGCCAACACTTTCAGAAGGCCCCCGGCAGGCCAGCTGTCAATTACGCCCCCGTCAGCACCGCTATACCCTTCTCCATATGGGGCATTGACCTAAAAGGCCCTCTGCCGAGGGGTACCTCCAACAACAGGTACATCATTGTGGCCATCGACTACTTCACGAAGTGGGCAGAGGCCGAACCCCTCACCAGCATCACCGAGGCCAGGTGCCGCCACTTTGTCCTCAAGAATATCCTCACAAGGTTTGGCGTCCCCCAACAGATCATCTCCGACAATGGCACTCAATTTGAGGCAGCCTCCTTCTGTGCCCTCCTCGAGGCATGGGGCATCAAACACACCTTCTCTTCTGTTGCCTACCCTCAAGGCAACGGACAGGTGGAGAACGCCAACCGGACTTTGCTTGAGGGCCTGAAAAAGAAACTTGAAGCTGAAGGGGGAGGCTGGGTCGAAGAGCTCCACAACATTCTATGGGGCTACCGCACCACCCCTCGGCGTGCAACAGGCGAGACACCCTTCTCCCTATGCTAGGGCTTCGAAGCTAAGGCTCCAACTGAAGTAACTTTGCCTACCCGAAGGGTAGACCAATACGAGCCCGAGGACAACGACGCCAACATGGCCCTCGACCTTCACCTCATCTCGGAACGCCGGGAACAAGCCTTCCTCAGGAGTGAGAATTATAGGCGCCAAGTCAAGGGCTACATCGATGCCAAGGTCTGCTCCCGAGAGTTTCAAGTGGGGGACTACGTCCTCCGAAGGAGGGAGGCCGGTCAGCCCACCGAAGGGGGTAAAATGGCACCCAAATTTGAGGGCCCATACATTATCACGACCATCATCAAACCGGGGACTTACAAGCTGAAACGCCCTAATGGGACTGAGGTCCCCAGACATTGGAATGTACATCACCTTGTCAAATTCTATCAATGATACATGAGCGGCCAATCCCTCATCCCTAACAAATGTATTTGATCAACGGCCCAAGGCCCTCCTTTTCAGAAGAATAAACATGACTTCAAACACAAAGTACCAGATATTGAGTGTATATGAGCGGCCAAGCCCTCATCCCTCACCAGCATAAACGACCAGTGGCCCAAGGCCCCCTCTTCCTCAAGAGAATAGAACACGAAGTACCAAGTATGAGATAAATGAGCGGCCAAGCCCTCATCACTCACTTATATGGCCCAAAGCCCCTTCCTCCCATAAGGAGGAATAGATATAACAAAGTACCAAGTACGGAAGACACATGAGTGGCCAAGCCCTCTTCATTTATATGAGTGATCAATGGCCCAAGGCCCCTTCCCCTCATGAGGAGGAATACTATATGACATCACCAATCAAGGTACCAAGTACCGAGTGTGCGGGATACACCCGCCACTCTTAACAACACCAAGTGTTTGTACATAAGCCGTTCCCCTCGAGGACGCCCCCATGCATATATTATTTAATGCATACTCATGCACACAAAAAAAATGGGGGGGTACAATACCCCTCGGCTCCGGCAGGTACCAAGTGCCCCCAGATATTTGTGTTCCGCACAGATAAAACCCTTCACTGAAACGCTTTCCGCACCATCCCCCAAGGGGAGGCAGGCAACGAACCATGTCCCGGGCCCAGGATTTGACTTTCACAAACGAAACGCTCCCCGCGCTATCCCCCAAGGGGAAGCAGGCAACATACCATGTCTCGGGCTGAGGGGACGACTTTCAAAACCGAGGCGCTTTCCGCGCTATCCCCCAAGGGGAAGCAGGCAACAGACGATGTCTCGGGCCGAGGAAACGACCCTGAAACCCTTCGGGATCTCGGAAGGTCAATCCCGAAGGGGGAGTCAACGGTTTGCCCCGTTGCCTCCCATATAGGCCAAGCCTTTCCTAGAAACCAAGTTTCTTGATGCCCCTTCTACAACATTAAAAAATGTGTTGGGGGAGGGAACTCCCTGGATACTATTCTCCCCGGAGGCTCAACAACAATTCGGAGATATATTCCCGAATGCTTTTACAAAGATACAAGGGAATCTCTCAACACAAAGTCATTCGGCTACATGTCCGAAGGCTCCACTACATGAAGTCTTGAAGTGTAAGGAACTCCCCGGAGGCCCAAACGAAGGCTCACCAGCAAAACTTCACCAAAATTTGGCCAAGTCCAAAATTTGGTGAAGCCCATGTCTCATACCGAAGGCAATCACTCAGAGTAATGCAAGAACTCCCTAAGTCAAGTCAGCAAACTTGTATATATAAACCAACATATATAAGTATTAATTTTGGGTTTCAAAATTGTAATGAACTTCTACAATATTTTAGAATTTAAAGTAATTGTTGGGCAGTGAGTCAGTACAATATTATACCGGTATACGCGGTATTTGAAAACATTTACCGTTATCGTACCGAAATAAATCAGTACCGTACCGAAAATGACGGTATATCAATATTACGATATTTTTCTGTATTTTTTGATACAGTAAGTGCAGTATACCGATTTCCCGGTATTTTTGTCCACCCCTAGTCGCATGTAATCCATATCCATATCCGTCCAAGCTGCTATAATTAGAGAGAGGGTAGCATAAGAAAATGTATGGCCAGGAAACGGAGCGGATCAACGATAAGAAAACATTACGTGGCAAATAGAGCTGAGTAGCAGCTCCAAATCCAGATGCAGGCCACTCCCGCCCATGGAGGTGGTCTCATTTTCCTCCCGACCCGAAAATCTCACCAACGCTCTGTTCCTCCCTCCCCTTTTCTCATTCTCCCTCACCAGCTCCGCAGCTCTGCGCTGTCAAAACGGCCCATCCTGCATCCGCTCTATCTCTGCCGGTCTGATCGATGGAACTCAAATGCTGAGACCTTCAGAACCCGGAATTTCAAGCTCAAAGAAGAAGACGAAGAAGAAGCAGGAGAAGGAGGAGGAGGCTTCTCGGAACCTGTTGACGAGCTTGTCGATAGTATCTGGATTTTGAAGGTTTCATTCTTTGCTTAATTGCTTATGTCTCTCTGAACAATGTTACTCGCATTTGCCATTGAAGCTTTTCAATTGTGTGTTTCCATAGATTTGAATTTCATCTTCTCCTTTCGGGCTAAAGGTTTGATCTTGTAAAATTGGACTTACGGGTTGGGTCATTGGGTGATTAAGGGGTGTTTGGATAGCTTCTTAATACTGCTTCAAATTACTGCTTCAAATTGAAGTGTTTAAGTGAAAGTGCAGAAATACTTCTAGGTGCTCCAAATTACTCCTAGAAGCAGCTTCTAAAGACTGATTAAGTTCGAAATACCCCTTATTGATATTTTGGCAAGGGATATTTCGGTTGGATTTTCCTGAAGGAAAAAAGTCTTGGCAAAAGTAATAAGCTACTTATTCTGCTAATTCTCATGAGAAGAATCCATAATAAGCCGAAATGCGCTTAATTTGGTGTAAGGGGTCTATTCTTTATCAAGTAAACTAATTCGAAGTATTTTTTTAAATTCCTAAGTTTTATGTATTATTATATATCAGGACATCAGGAGTACATTTAAAAGTTCAAGTTAGTCTGCACTATGGAGCGTAGGTGTGTATCTATATATTGGTAAAGTTTTTAGTAAAATTTTGTCCTTAGATACGTACTTCAGTGAAGTTTTTTCCATAAAAAAGTATTCGATGAGGATTTTTGTGGTTTATTCTAATCCCATTTGTTAACCTCATTTTCAACTTATCAACCAACTTTTTTTTCTTATTCGTAGTAATTTTTTCGTAATTTTATCAATAAAAACATTATAATTATAGTTTTTCGCAATTCAGCAAATTGAGCCGATTTAGACAAATTCATTGTTATCAAGGGACTGAGTAAGTTTTTCTACTGATATTTATTCCTTGTTGGGCAGTGCAGATCTTCAAGGCCTATGGGTGGTTCTTTCCACCAATTGCTGCGTCATTACTGCTAGCAACTGGCCCCAAAGCTTTTCTTGTGGCCTTAGCTCTTCCAATAGGGCAATCAGTGTTTATGTTTGCCCTTCAAAAACTATGGGGCACTGCACAAAATGATCTTGGGCGCAAGAACAAGAAAAGACCCCAAAGACCCCAAAGACGCAGTCCAACAATAAACATTAATGCGGGGAGAAGAGCCCGAAAGCGTAGCACTAGAAAATCTGATGTCTTCTCCAGTAGGATTGACCAAGATGAGTCTGCTTTTGGTGGTTGGGATGAACTAGAGCAAGGAAAGGACTATTATATGTCAGGCTCATCTATGGGTTCGCCTCAGCCAAGGACATCCATTGAGAATGGCAAGTTGAGTAGGAGCACTGAGAGGGGGGAAAGCACTCCATTGTTACTAAGGCTGTTGGTTTCCATTTTTCCATTCTTGAGTTCATGGTCAAAGAAGCTATAGTAGTTTTTCTTGCCAGTCACTGACACAGAATCTGTTGCATTGGTCTGCTTGCCTGTCTTTGGATGGTCTGATGATTCCATTGATGGAGAGGTGAAGTTCTCTTTACCACTCATCCATTCAGAGCGCAATGTGACCAGCCGCTAATGCGAAATGGTGATGCATTTCAGTCTAAATACAACCAGTCGCTAATGCTAAATGCGACCTGGGATTTAAAACTTCACACATGCATTGAAAGTATGATGTAATGCAACCAGCGGCTAATGCCTAATGGTGATGTATTTCAGCCTAAAACCCATAGAATGTTAAAACTTATGGGGTAAAGGCAGCCAGAGGTTTCTTAAACTTTTGTAGTAGTGTATAATCGAAGGACAATAAAATTGTGATATGTCAGTTTTTTTTGGAAAAAAATAACTTAATTATCATTGATAAGGGTAACAAGAAACATAACAATCAAAAGAACACTCGGCTAATGATGGCAGAGAATATATACTTGGAAGAATTCAGGTTCATGATTGATGAAAAAGCCAATACAAACCTCTTACTAGTACAAAAGAACACTCGGCTAATGATGGTGGAGAATATACACTTGGCGAGTTGGCGAGCGACACTTAGCCATTGAAAATAACATCTCTAGACAATGTTAGGAAATAAACATATACATAGAATTGAAAACGTGGATTAAACGAAACATTTTTCAAGTAAACCAGATTAAAAGAATTTTAGAAAACAAGAAAATAACAGGAGGAGGGTAGGGTTTCCCATGGTTGCTCCTTTGTGATATGCCAGTTATTTATTGTATTTTTCTTCTTTCGTGCTTCTAAATTGGACTGTCATGTGCCTTTTTAATGAAATGGGTTGTGTTTATGGTCGTTATATTACTTATATACAAGGATGCTACTCATAATTTCTACAATGGCACATATTAATAGGATGATATGTTATAACCTATGTTACACCAAAAAAGGTTTTTTTGGAAGAAAGACACTTAAATCGATATCACAACATTCATATAGGGAACAATCAGACAAAAGAATTTGACTGAGTCAATCATCTTTAAAAAGCAATATGACTTGATGATCTTGTAATGGGCATAACTGAGCCAAAGACAATCAAACCAGACCTCTCATCACACAATAGTAATGCAAGAATCTGACAAAAAAGAGAACTAAAGTGCGAAAATAAAAATAGTCTAAGCAAAGCAGATAGTAAAAATAAAGATAACATAATTAAAATTCCCCGGACCTAGCATGAGTCTTCTTTAAAATTCCCGGCGGGTCTTCCTCCCTGTTTGTTGGCGTATCCCGAGCCATGCCATCGCCACTTGGTCTTCTTGCTCCTGATCCTCCCATAGCCTCCTACGCTTCTGGTCACCAGGCACCTGCTCTGCGTTAGCTGAACCTCCTTCCTCTCTCGTGGTCTCTCGGGGGTCAATCAATTAACAATTTGTCTCACTGCTTCCATTCCTCCATCACTGCTCTACACAACATTTTGCTGCTTCACCCCCATACATGTGATTGTAGGTCCCTCCGACACTAACCATTAGTTTCCTCTAAGCTCCACCCCATAAGATTTTTCCTAAACTTTATTATCACATTCATATGTTAAAGGGAAAAACCTGTCAGCATGGTCAATAATCCCGCAGACAAAGCAAAATCTAGATAGTTTCTCGTATTTGAAATCCACTTAGTGACCCCCCCTCCTAAGAGTTGTACATTTCTTCAGTGGCTTCCCCACTTCCATATAGACCCTAATTCGCATATAAGCATCTTAGTTGCCTTCAAACTGACTTTCATCAAAACTAATAACTTTTCCAGTAAAATTATCAATCCTCCGTGTCATACCTAGGTTCATAAAACCATAAGGTACATGATGCACCTGGACCCAGAATTCTGCCTCATTCTGACTAACCTTAAGGGGAATGTCCCCCGACCTAATTTCCTTAAAGATCAACAAATTCCGTTCAAACAACCACGGACCACTTTCTAACACACGTCACATATCAACAATGTGATAAAAAGTGATCAGGAACCTCTTTTAGCCAATCTTCGTGATTGACACACTTTTTTCAGGACATCAAAGCGAGGACATAAGGTCTTTGAAAGTCAGGGATGGCGGATGCCAATAAGGTGGCGATCAATGAGGCGATGGTGGTCTCAAACATGACGACAATGACTGCCCAATGATCACTGGATGGAGTGGCGGTCAATCACTGAGACGGTGATCTCGGCCCGGCCTTGGAGGTCACTATGGGCGGCAGCGAGTGGTCGGGCAGTGACTGGTCGAGGCGATGACTGGTCGAGGCATTGGAGATAATAAAAAATTGGTCACTAGGAATAAGGAGAGTCACTATGACAGCGGTGATTGTTGTGGCCGTCAGTAGTAACTTGTCGAGTGGTCACTGTGACTTTAGTCATTGTAGCAATTGATTAAGTGGAAATGGTATAATGTTCGTCTTAAGAAACTGAAAAGAATTAAGACATGAAAAATACAAATTTAGTGCACACACACACTTTATATTTTTCTTCACTCTTCATCTTTAGGATATAAATAAATAATTTAGATATGAAAAATAGATATTTAGTTTATATCATTTTAACTTTTACACATTTCATACATTCATTATGACAAAGGTAACCCAATACGACATATTTGTATTCAATTTGTTATGATTGTACCCATGTGAAAAGATATTTAGCAATAACAAATTGCTTTTATATTTTTACATGATTCATTTGAATAAAATTGTGAATATTAGAACATTTGCACCACTGACTCATTTAGTTTTCTTTGAATATTTTATGTGATATTATAAATGCTAACCAACTATAAATTTATTATTTGTGAGCAGTATTTTTTTTCCTAGTGATTGAAAAGATGTTAGAAATTTTAATTTATACGTAGTAATATATTATTATTTCTTTTTCTATCTTTGGTTTCCTTTTACATTTTATTTAAATATTATATCAAAGAAGATGAGATGAACTACTACTTTCATTTTCTAATTCTATAATATAAAATTTGATCAAATAAAATAATAAATATAAGAAACTGGATCAAATCGAACTAGATTAAACCTAATAATTTTAACTTTGATAAACCGAATTTCAAACCGAACCGAAACTAAACCGAAACACAAATAGTTTTAATTTGGTACAATTTCTCCCAAACCGAATAAATCGAAACAGAACCTAAACTTAAGAAAATCAAATTGTAAACGGAAGTGTCCACCCTACATAAAATTACTTACTTTTCTGAAAATGAATTTCGATTAAAACATACTCCCTCCGTTTTCAAAAGAAAGTCACAGTTTGACTTCACGATTATTAAGAAAATAAATTGACTTTACTGGAGAAAATACTGTGTAGACACTGTTTGACACTGTTTGGACACTGCTTGGCACTGTTTGGACATTGTTTCGCACTGTTTGACACTATTTGAATGTAGATTTCTTTGCCAAATAAGGAAATAAGGGAAGTGTGACTTTGTTTTTGAAATATCTCAAATAAGAAAAAACCTTACTCCGTACTTCAATGGTAAATTTAAAATCATTATTTTGAGTGGATATTTCACACGGAGTATTGCGAATTCAAATTCGCACGGGGAAGTGTATTAATTTGGTATCCTTCCTCAAACGCGGTTCATTTCTAAAAAAAAAAAAATCTTACGCTAGGTTGTCAGGTTTTTGGAATTCGTATAATTCTTAAATCCCTAGAAGGTGTTCCTGCACTTCAGTCATTTGCACCTCAGATCAGGGAAGGCATAGGGCACATCAGTTAAGGCTGACTCTATCCATCTAACAGAAGTTGATAACCCCAGAGAATGTAGCTCTTGTAGGGAGGGGATACAATTTCTCTGATTCTTTCACAAGAGAGTTTTTTTGCTCTTCCTGTAGGACATTGAGCCTGTAGGGATGGCAATGGGGCGGGGGTTCACTCCCTCATCCCCGCCCCGTGTCTAAAAAATCGCCCCCACCCCCGCCCCATCCCCCACTAGTATTCGACCCGCCCCATCCCCGCCCCGACCCGCTAGACCTACGGGTATCCAACGGGGAAGTACTCGTCAAAAATTAACATCATTTTAGTATTATTTACTATAGTACTATACAAATATTTTCTTTAAAAGGAGAGTAGAAAACTTGGAAATGATAAGGTTGGAGTTTAATTGTACTTCCTCCGTTCTTAAATAAATGCAACACTTTCTCTCTTCACCATCTTCTTCATTTAATTTTGTTTTCTCATATTTGTACTTCAATTACGGTTGAAATGAAAGACGTGAACAGAGATGGAACTGATATTTCTCCGGCTACTCCGCCACGAGTATCTACTTCTGATCTGGTGGTTCCGGATACTAAAAAAAATACTAATGTCCTTGATTTCTGCTGGTGCGGCTGCTTGAGGAAAAGGAACGAAAACAAAATTCATTGTTACGGCTAAGTGTAGAAAAGAATTGATGATCTCCTGGCTGCTGGACTCTCTACGAACAGGAAGAATAGCATAAAAACTACTCCTACGGCTGCTTGTTTCTGAAAAGAAAAAAACGCTGGTTGCTTGCTTGGAGAAGAAATTGATAGACTCCACTGCTGCGGCTAAGTGTGATCCTCAGAATCAATGAAGCTTCTTCCGTCTAATTTTGCTTATGGTGAAGAGGGTGCGGTCGAAGTTAGTGCCGAAGGACAGAGTTTACCTTGACCGATGTGACTGTAGCACTTTATGTGCTTTATTGTTTTGTCCGTATAGTGGAGGGCAAAATAGGAAAGATAATTACTGTTCCTTTACTTCTTAATATCTGTGCCCAGCCTTATGTTGCATTATTTTAAGAACAGAGGAAGTATAAAATAGTTAGACTGTTATTTTCTGTACTAACTTTAATCGAATCATAAACTTCTCTAATTTGTATACCCAAACCTCCACATTTCTAGTTGCATCATCAATGACGAAACATGGTTCCCCTGATTTGGATAAGAGAAAATTTAGCAAGCTATTCGATGCAATGGAGTGCATGGTGCGAACGCAGCATGCGCAGCTCGATTACCTTCTTCAAGAACGAAAAATTCTTCAAGACATGATCGCATTAGAAAATGAACGATGGGTTTCTGACGTTAAACTTTTGCAAGGTGAAATTGATCAGGTAAGCATTTAAAATATTTGGTGTTCCCTTCAATAGAGTAAGGGTTTTGTGTGCAAGATCAAGTTAAATTTGATGCTTTGATTAATGTGGGGTTGTTTTTGAATTTCTCTCTACAGATCAGGACTGAATTGTCATCCAGTGAGGTGGGGAGTGTGGCTGAGGCTGCATAATGGGAAGTGATCGTAGGAATAAAAGAGCTAGATCTCCTTTTACTTAAAGATAAATATGGTTAGTGTTTTCAACTTCTCAATCATTTTGTGAAAGTGTTTTTGTTTTTTACTTAGTATGACTATCATTGTGTTACTTGTGTAACAAAGTGTTTTTGTTGTTTACTTAAAGACATTGAGATTTCAAAGCTGGTGGCTGAAAAGAGCTCTGCCGGGAACCAAAATCACAAACTTGAAAATGAAACAATAAAACAATTGAGACAAAAAGGTACGGAGGTTGATATAGCGAACAAGAAGATGGTGTTGGGAATAACAGGATCGTGCTAATATGAGAGAAAAACACTTCTATTACTTTCAAGAATAGAAAGAAGAGACATACAAGCTCTAACTAAAAACTCTCAAAACACCTCACATATCTCTCAAGGATATTCACAACTCAAACTTGGTTGTGGTATTCTAATCTATGATCTAAATTGCTTGATGATAGAAAGACTCTCCAAGCTCTCTATTTATAGCACCAAAACTAGGTACTAGGAAGGTGGGAGGAAGATGGGTGGAAGCTTAGGAGAAGCTTCAATGGAGGTGTGAGGAAGGTGGTTGTTTGGTGTGAGGAAACTTCCCAGAGACATACTTGCACATGGAGGAAGTTTCATGGATGTTACTCACAATTGAATTCTTCAGATGGAGTCACTTGTGAAAAAGATAAGGAATTACGAGCGTCCAACTCAGATTTGAAGAATCGAATTTCAAAAATGGAAGCCGTATCTACTAAGCAAAATGGTGAAATTTGTAGGCTTTCCGGTGAATTACAATCATTGAAGAAGGAAAACAATGACCATGCAACGCCTAGGATGGATCCACCAGTCCCTGTGAAGGTCTCATTTGCTTTGACTTTTTCTGAATGGATTTTCCTTGCTTGTTGCCAAGTGCACTATGTTTTTTTCAACGGCTCCATTTATTAAGATGAGATATTTTTCCGGAGTCACTCTCCCGGGTTTCCAAATTGAGGTTGCTTTGCTTCTTGGCAACTTCATAGAATAACGAAGTAACGTTTAAATGTTAGACATCAATGTAAAGAACAAGTTTTTGAAGGAAATGTTTGTTTTTTTATGAGAGCTGCTTGGGTACCCCAATTTGTACCCCAAAGTGTACACCGTCTGTGTACACAGACATTTGGGTAGAAAGTTCTGCCCTCTTTCAAACGAATTGCCTGTGTACACAGGCAATTCAGGGGTGGGTACAAATTGGGGTACAATTTGGGGTACCTATAGAATTTTTGTTTTTTTATTCTCTTGCTTGCATGGTAGAATGTGAATATAAAATGCAAACATTTTCCATGTATTTAAAAACATGATATCATAACTGATTAAAGTTGAACTCTGAACAGAGAACTGGGAACTCAAAGAGGAAGGTAACGGATGACACTTCAGAACTCAAATGCTACGCAACTAGGTCCAGGACCATGAGAAGTAGGACCACCGATGGAATGAGTGGGAAGGGTGCAATAGCTATGACCATTTCAGTGAAGAACTCACCTGGTTCATTGGGAAAAAACACAGCCCCTGTGAAGGTCCCATTCACTTAGTTTTTTTTCTTTCTTTTCTGTGTAAACTCTTTGTTTTTGTGCACTATAATTTTGCTTGTTTTTCTTAATGGTTCTGTACTTCTGTTTGTTTCACATGAAATATTTTTTCAGGAAAACTTTTTATGGATTTTCCTATACTTGATGTTGTTTCTTATGGAATAAGTCAAAGGATTGATTCTTTTTTAATCAAATTTTTGTTTTTTGGTATTACTCAAAAGAATGGAGCGTTTAAGAAGTATTTCTTTACACTACTATATCTTGCTTGCTTGCAATATGAATATACAAAAACAAAAGGTGTTACCATATTCTGACTTCCTCTTGCTTGCAATATGAATATACAAAAACAAACTCTTGCCATGTTTTAAGAGTTATATTAAATTAGATGATTAAAATTGAAGTTGTCCAGATAAATGAACACTCGAGAAAGCGAATGGATGACACTCCAGCTATGACCGTTCTACCAGTTCCATTGAAAAGCTCACCAGCGTCAGTCAAGGTTCGATTCACGTGCACTGAGTTTTTTCATTTTTAATCAATTTATTTTTATATTATACCCGTACCTTATAGTGACATTCTATTGTGTATTTGGTACACTGTTACCACGACATTACAATAGAATTTCTAGCCACATCTTTAAGAATCATATTCTCATAACTGATATAGAAATGAACTATGTCCAGAGAAATGAGAACTCGAAGAGAAATCAAACGGATGACTCCCCAAGACTGTTTACATCTTCATTCCAAATACCCAAGTTGAGGATCTCTTCAGCTCAGGTTGGATAACAAGTTGACATGATCACTTTTGCCTCTTCCGTATCAGTATGAAAAACTGTAGAAATTGATGGGCATGTATCTCTGTGCCTTGCATAGTTTTAGCTTGTATGTGGTAGGGAATTAGAGATTCAGAACACATTGCAATATGGAAATGATATTTTCTCTTTAATGGCATGTCTTCTGTGCACACTTTTATATATGCACACACAATATGTGTATACTTTGCAAAACTACATGGCAAACAGGCAAACCATGAAGTGTGGCACCAACTTTATTTCTTCTACTTGGATAAAATAACTTCCCTCTCAATTGCTTCTCATTTCCCTCTTCCCATCTTTTTCTTGAGTTTCTTCCTTAAAGTCTTAAACCGAACAATGTCCTATATATAGTTTAAACCAAACCAACCAGACTGAACTTGATAATCTATACAATCGACCATAACAAAAACAAAAGAAGAATAAAGAAAATCTCTTGGCAATGGACCAAAACAAGTAGGATGAGGAGCAATTACGTTCTATTATCACTCTTATTATTAATCTCAGTGAAAAATAAAAAATGTATAATTCCAATTATTTACGAAGTCAGAGATTACATAACTTGTAATATATTCTTCTATTTGAAATTTTAATTTGATTGGAGGATACCTCTAATCAAATGATTCTTTGTTTATCTCGAAGCACAAATTAAAAGTGACTATGTAATATTTATTTGAAGAATAGTGTTCTATCATTCTATGGGGTACGGCGAAGTCAAAAAGCATCATGAACATCATCAACACGTTCATGATATTTGTCATCGTCAAATTGTTTATATGTTTTTAGTTTAGGCACTCAAGTTTTAAAACTTAACATTTATTCATACATAAATAAAAAGAGAAAAATAAAATAAATATAAGAATTCATTAGTAGAACACTTTGCTTAATATGAATTTAGGAAACCCTTTATTATTGAAAAAATGCTACGTGTACACACTGCTTACATGTTCGTTTACATGCCAACTTTATTTTGTCTGTGCGTAGAAGCAGTGATGGACCTAGTACTAAAATTAGGGGACACAATGTTTATCTTTATTAAAATTATCCCCATATCATATTGTTTTTTCGGATAGGGGACACAATGTTTATCTTTAAGTACTAAAACTAAATTTCGGAGTCAGAAGCAGGGGCACTTGCTCCTCCCGAAAAGAGAACGGGGGGCAAAAAAACTAAATTTCCACTGTATAGACGATTGACTTTCATTTTAGTAAAGGGAACAATATGTAACTCCGAAAAGGTGAATTGTATGTACATAGACAATTTTCTTTACTAAAATGAAACTCAATTATCTGCGCACAAACAAAATACAGTTGACGTGTAAACCAGTGTGTAAGTCAGCTGCAAATAACATTTTGTTTTATTATTGTATATATATAAGGGAAAACTATCAAATAAGCCCCCGTACTATGTCGAAAAAGTCGATTAGGCCTTCATACTTTACAAACACTCACTTAAGTCCTCCAACTATTAAAAAACGTTCAATTAAGCCCTTTCGGTCGGTAAGTAACCGGTTTCCCGGTTAAACGGCGGTGACGGCGACGATGTGCTCGAACCCCAGCAATAGCGGCTGCCGGGAAACAGGTTACATTTAACCGGGAAACCGGTTACTTACCGACCAAAAAGGCTTAATTGAAAGTTTTTTAATAGTTTGAGGACTTGATTGAGTGTTTGTAAAGTACGAGGGCTTAATCGATTTTTTCGGTATAGTACGGGGGCTTATTTGATAGTTTTCCCTATATATAACTATGTACTCACTATCCACATTTTGTTGACGTGTAAACCAATATAAAAAAATGAAGATATCATGTCAATTTTTAATTTGATTTATCTAAATCACTATTTCATAATTTATTTATGTTTCAAATACGGAGTATTTAATTGCAATATACTTTCGGATATGAATTATGAATAAGGTATCATGAAGGGGGAATTTTGAGTTTGCACTCCAACTTTTGGATGATATTGGATTTTGCAAAGACAAAGAAATTTTAGGGGATATAAAATGTAAAGTCTAAGAGTTCTGAAAATGGAGTGCAAAGTCTAATATCACTCCAAAGTCAAAATATGCAAAGTCATGAAATTGACTTCACTCAAATTTGTGAACATTTGAGTCAAAATATGCTTATCAACGGGATAATCTACTCAAATTACTTCACTCTGTTATGAATGTACCTAGCGTAGTTACAGTCTTTCATGAATTATCATGAAATTGCTGCATAATGACTTATCTATACTTCACTCTGTTAAGAATGTCATTCCTACTTCCCGAAGCTTCATGTATCTTGCCCAATCATACAAGGACTTTTTCGTCCATGGCTACTTCCACCACCTTCGCCGGCAACCTCTCTTCCGCCGCTCCTAAGACGGCCCGTCTGCGAGGCGTTGTGTTCGACATGGATGGAACCTTGACTATTCCCGTCATCGACTTCCCGGCTATGTACATGGCCGTTCTCGGCGAGGAAGGATACCGTGATATCAAGTCGAAGAACCCCTCCGGCATCGACATTTTGCACCACATTGAAAGCTGGAGCCCCGAAACAAAGAGCCGCGCGTATGATATCATTGCCGATTTTGAGAAGCAAGGCCTCGATCGTCTGCAAATCATGCCGGGTTTGCCCCGTTTACCCGACTTCTTATCTCTTTAGGTTCTAATATGTATACTATCGTGTTTACTTTCCGTGGCTGCTTGGACCCTTCTGCCCCCACCGATTTATAAAGGCTTGGATATTTTGTGCAGGTGCAGTAGAGCTTTTTGGTTTTCTCGAATCTAGGAATATCAGGTAAAGTTCTCACATTGAGCTATCTGATGAACTGTGACATACGGACTACGGAGTATAATTTAGCAATCATACTTTCATGGTTTGTTCGATTTGCTCATTACATCTGTAATTCTCTCTTTTGTACTAATACCCTATTGTAAGGTGTTAGGGCATAAGGCTGTAAGCTGCTTGGGTTGTTCAATTATTTGTGGTGATGAATACTTTTAAATGACAAGATGCGCCCCAACGAGCCTTACTTGTGAATTAGAATGAGGGAAAGTGTGAAAGTTGGTACTTGCTGACATCTTAAGTGTTTTAGATCATTGCTTACAACTTTGTATAACATGATTCTAAATAAATAATTGGAGAAGTTTGTGCAAACATTGATTTCATCTGATACACACAGTGATACACTCATAGTCACATGCTAATAGTGTGAGTAGTGCCGAGTAAATTATTGAATTTCAGTGATATATTTATTAATGTATTCTTTATCATTGGAATGTAAAACAGTAATGACTAAATAATTATGTAACAAACACAATACTCTGTAATGTGTATGACTGTATGGTCAACGCCTTCCCACTGCCCATTCCATTCTGTCATTCAAATTTAGTATTCTGTACTTGCAAAAGAAAAGCTGCATTTATATAGGTCTGCTTCGGAGCAATGTATGATTTACATTTTATGTTTTTTTCAGAAGAGGATTAATTACTCGAAATGCCAAAGCAGCAGTTGATTTGTTTCATCAACGCTTTGGGGTAAGTTCGCCCCCTTTCGTTGTGAAGCTAGTACTTTAATTGACTTGTAAAAATGATCCTGCTCCCAACTCCCAAGAAAAACTTAGCTATGGTAAATCATTAATATCATCAATGTTCTAAAAGGCACAAGGCGTGCCAAGGCGGCATGATGAAGCCTTAGCCTTTAAAGCCTAGGCGGCTTTAGGCGGAGTGTAGGAGTGAAAATGCATTTTGACTTTCATACTTTATTTTAATTTTCCTAGAGATGATGCTAAGTATGTAAGTCTCATATTAATAGTATCTTATATAAAACATCAAACTTTTCTCATATTCAACAAAAATAGATTCTAGAGTCTTAAACATGTCAAATATAAATTTAAATATTACACACAAACTGGAATTTGAAAAAAAAGTTGAATGATACTCCGTATATTGATGTTAAGAATATAAATAATGATGATTATTGAAATAATAATAATAATAATAATAATAATAATAATAATAATAATAATAATAATAATAATAATAATAATAATAATAATAATAATAATAATAATAATAATAATAATAATAATAATAATAATAATAATAATAATAATAATAATAATAATAATAATAATAATAATAATAATAATAAGAAGAAGAAGAAGAAGAAGAAGAAGATTTTTCCCCAAAAATATTACTGAAATAGAACATACGAAGTATTTATAAAAATATGACTAAACTTACTATCCGTATAATGTGATGAACTGATGATCACTTAAGTCTAAAACTGAATATAAGTTACTATCACTAAAGTTACTATTATACTCACTACATTTAAAAAATCACGTTTTATATATCTAATTTATTTTAATCATAATTTTATAATTATTTCCAATAATAATACTTACTAACAGTAAAAAATACTTACTCGATATTGTGTCGCGTATTTGAAATAAGTTTATAATATGAAGCAAACACCAATTTGCTAGTAGTGGGGATTGTTGATGACTATAGCACTTATATGTGGACTTTTAGTCTACAATAGAGGCATAAGCCCGTCTAAACCCTAAACTTGGTTTATTAGGACGCCTTTTTCCACGTCTAATAGGCGCGCGAGGCGTTTTATAGACGCCTCATGCCTAGTCCCACCTCGATGGCGCCTTTTGCTGCCTTTTAGAACACAAAATATAATCCGTGTATCGGCCGGATTGTCTGGTTTTTTCTGCTGAGGAGGTTAATATTCCAAGCATGAGATGCCAGATCATGCTGCTCAACGCGTGTTTTTCAAAAGCTTAATTATATGCCCCTCCCATTTCTCAAATTTTCTAATTTGGCATTTGAAACAAATAAGCTTATTATGTCCTATTGTATCAGCTTCTATATGATGCGAAATAGTGTTATATTAATGCTTGCTTTTGAATCACATGTACTATATGTTTTTGAACCCCTTTCCACTTTTGTGTATTACATTAAGATGTGAGATCCACTCAAAAATCATCAGCGAGTTGCAAACCAGTATATTATACTATCGTATTCTTTATGAGTATTGGTCAGTTTTAATTCTCTGGAATGGCATTCAAATTCGTAAACAACAACAACCAGGGCTTAATCCCAATCCAAAGCCATAAAAACGG